TCTGAGGAGTGGCTGCTGGGTTTGAACCGCCAGCCTCTGGTTAGCACTCAGATGCCTTAGGTGCTGTGCCACCAGAGGCATTCCATAAATAGCTAAGCTCACTGCCATCGAGCCAATTCCGACTCATAGCGACCTCCACTGGGTTTCTGAGGCAGTACATCTTTAGATTGCCCCATCTTCTTTCTGCAGAGCAGTGGGTGGGTTTGAACCACCAATCTTCTGGTTAGCAGTCAAATGCCTTAGGCACTGCGTCACCAGAGCTCTAGTTATTATATGGAGTCCCTGCGTGTGCAGATGGCAGCGCTTTACTGCCAACAGGACATTTGGAGGCTTGAGTCCACCCGGGGTGCCGCAGAAGAAAGATCTGGCAACTGACCTCCAGAAAGCCAGCTGCTGGAAACCCTGTGGGGCGCAGTTCTACTCTGACAAACACGAGGTCACCAGGGGTCAGCATCCACCCAACAGCAACTGATTATTTTATTTTATTTTTACTAATTATATGAAGGGACACTATTAATAAAAGTACTAACAATGAAAGACTTTTCAAAAGAATCACCTGCTCCCCCTTAGGTGCTGCAGGACCAAGAGGCTCATGCCTGAGGAAGCAGGTGCTTTAATACCTGGCAGGTGAAAGAGATTTTTTGAGGGTGTTTGGTGCTTGGTTATTTATTTGGGATTCCACTCTCAGCCTGAGAGCCTGGGAGCTTTCAGGACCAGCTGGGGGACCCTCCCTCTCTCCACCTGCAGCCTCCTGGGGTGGCTGCCCAGTCCCCCACATCAAGGTCCCCTGCCTTTCCTGTCTGTAAGGGACAGCTTGGGGGCAGGACAGGGTGGTGTCCACTTTCCAGGACAAAGGCTAGCAAGGTGAGGAGCCCAGGCACGTGTCCCTCCCCCAGTGCAGGTCATTCCCACGATGCCAGCCCAGTGGCCTGGGTGTTCCTTGTTGCCTTTTTATTTTGATATGATTGGAGCTTTGCAGCGGAGTTGCAAAAATAGGACAGGGAATTCTGTCCACCCTTCACTCAGCTTCCACGGATGTTACAATGGGGCAATTATGAAAACTAAGGGCGGCATGTGGGAGCTCTGGTAGCATAGTGGCTAAGACACTTGCCTGCTAACCAGACGGCTGGTGGTTCAAACCC